TATATATTTATAGATATTGTTAAATATATACATATACACATAGCAGCTTACCTGCTGCTAGTTAGCCAGGAGCCAAGAGCAGGAGTCGGGAGGCAGAGATAGGGGGCAAAGCTTTGAGGAGCCAGGGGCAGAGCTGGGGGGAGCCAGAAGATGGAGAGGATGGAAGACAATAGACTTCTATCCTCCTTCATGCCAGGCAGGGAACACAATTATGTCATTGGTTGTTAGCAATGCTCCGGTCCTAAAAACCAATGATTGAAAAGGAGGACAGCACAGGTTGGCAATCGCGGGCGGATAGCACCGCTGCCCGGTCCATGTCCAGATTGATCTAGAAGCAATGTATGTTAATAAGGGAAAGCTCCAAGTGTCCTTCTACCAAAGACCTTCTCAACAGATGCATCGTAAAGGTAAGAACTATATATATTTTTTCAAGTATTTTAGGTGTGCTGTAAGAATAGGAACACACAAACATATAATGGGATTTCATCTTGAGTATTTTATTCCTGTCTTATCTGAAACTTAAAATAAAAAGTTTTGTCTATGCATACACATAAGTTCTTTATATTTCGACTTTACTGGGATTCACAAGATGACAAAATGTTTTACAGAGAATGGTTCAATTGTAAACAAAAGCTTCTTACATCATGCATGTGTTTGTGTTATTCTTCAGTGTTGGTTTCTTTCTTTGCAGCTTAGCTTGTTTTTCCCAGTGGTATACTGCATATGTAGTGTGCTTCTGGTAGCCGTCCCACTCTACAGCGATCCTTTGGATTCACTAGTTGGAGTTGCTGTTGTCCTTTCTGGGGCCCCTGTATATTACCTGTGTATCCACCTTCCTTCTAAAAAACAACCAGCATTTCTGCAGAAATTGCTAGGTAAGAATGTTGCTTAATGTTAATAAATTATTTACAAAGACTTGCCTTGTGGTAAGAGAAACAAAAAGATGCAGATGGAGACATATTTTAAGATAAACAGACCTATACAATAACTATAATGTAGAGCAGTGGTTCTTAACCCGTGTAGCCTCAGGACCCACATGTATCCTTGGTCATTAAGTCGCAACCCAAGTCGCACTGCAATGGAACACACAACATTAGGGTACTGCGCGTTTTGGTGCGGGTGTACGAACTGTGAGTGGGAGGTGCGTTTGGGGTACCATTCAAATGAATGCCAACGCAACACACCTCCCACACCAAAATGCACAGTAGGTGCGATTGTGTGGTACAGTACATTAATCGCACTGTAATATGCGATTAACACACTGTACTAGTGTGAACGGGCCCTCAAAAACACTGACATACATGCACAACCACAGACCCAATCTCACACATTCACAGATATTCTCACACACACATACACACACACTCCAACAAATGTTTAATAACAAAAAAAAACATTTTTTAAGGTCCACCCAGTCTTCCTACCTTACAAGAACTGGAGTGGATCCTCACCCTGGGGTCCAGTGGGGGCTGCTGTGCAGAGACGGAGCTCCATCTATATGGGCATTGCTTTTACAGCTGCCTTGCACGCCCCATAGAGGTGTCAGGAGCCAGAATGTGATGTCACTCCGGTCCAGGTACCTCTACAGGGCGCACAAGGGAGCTGTAAGCAATGCTTGTATGGATGGAGCTCCCACGTGACCATACTCCCAGCCCACCTCACCTCAAGCTGACACTCGGCGACAGCATATTTTGAATGGTTGCTTGGTGTAAGAACTGACAGTGCTGCATTCGGAGGAAGCAAAGGTGCCTCTCACCGAAAAAAAGTGGAAGGCATGCTGTGACCCACAGAAAATGGGGTCACGACCCACTTTTGGGTCATGACTCACCAGTTAAGAACCAAGGATGTAGAGCACACTGAGCCTGACTTATACATAGGGGGATATTTATAAAGCAGTGAATCTGACTTTCACCAAACATTCACTTATGGTGTATCAATCGCTGCCATATTTCAAACAACATTCAAAAAACATGCAGTTGGAAGATTCACCTGCACTGAACATTTGGGTAGTATGAGATTCACAGCTTTATAAATATACCCCTATAGTGTTTCATAATTTGATGAGTTTCAATTCAAATCCCCCCTGTTCTAGTATATGCAATGAGCATTAGAGTTTATATTCATCAGTGTTTGGCTGGCCAGTATAATGTGTAAAAAAGAGCACCTTAAAGGTTAATGTTCACCAAATATTAGAATTCATTTATTTAGTTTTTGCATATACAGCTAACAATGAAATGCTAACATAGTGTATTTTGATCCTGTCTTCATCATGTATAAAATTGCCCAGTTTTAAGACTCAGACTTCAGCCTGACTCCTGAATTCTCACTGAAAACTGGGTCTACCAGAGTTCCAGGGTGGCTCTCAGTACAGATCCTAGCTGCATGGGAGTAGAGAAGGGTAATGAGGCTGATGCGCTCTGTCCACCAGAGGCTTTACATTACATATTAATTCAAGAGGATCCAACTCTTACCTTATGCAAAATCAGCAAGATATGCTTTGTCTTATTTTATCAAGTACATAAGAGGTGGAAAATAAACAGAAACTAGAACTGCAGCTGCTTTGGAGTCCCTTAAAGTGTATTTCCACTTTCACATCCAAAGTGGGATAACACCTATTTTATATTTCTTATACTGTATGTTCTCATTCACATAGCATAGTTAAAAAAAAATATTTAAAAAATGCTTATTGCTGTTTAAACTGATTTTACTTGGGTTAGGGTTTCTTGGCTTCTTAATGGTTAAAACTTCTGCTTGGCTTCTCCTTCTTTGTAATGTTAGAAAGGGTTGTGAGGGGGTTTGCATTGCATGGTAACAAAGTTAGAGTGAAACAAAGTTATGAGAGAAACATAACCCACAAATATGAGTCCTTATTCTTTCTGTAAGGAGAGATCACGGTGAGGGTGCACAGGAAAAACTTGTATTCAGTATGGGTTGCCTGCTGTAACAAAACATCTAAAAGGTAAGAAATGTTTTTCTTTTTTTTTAAGTATACTGTGTGAATGAGAACACATAATAAACATGTAGAAGGGTTTTCTCAAATTTGACCGGAAAAGTGGAAATACGTTTTAAGACCTAGGGGCCTTGTTCAATTGGTTTCCTCCATAATATTGACCTGGGACTCTAGTTAATACTTGTGCCCATCTGGGTCTAGGCATTCCTTTGTCAGCTGAAGATAGCTAACATGAAACTTACAGTCTCCGGCTTCAGATTATCTTTAGCTTGCTGTATACAAAATGACAAAAAAATCTCAATAAATGTAACTATTCTTCTTCCCATGACGTGATAATTTAAAGAATATTTATACGATAAGACGCATTTATAATTACCAGATCTATTCTTGCTCAAAGCAGTAAATAAATGTCTTCTTTTGTGTAGGCTTCCTTTCTTTGTACGCACAGAAGATATGTATGTGCTGTGCTGCCCAGTCAACAGATGATGGAGAGAAGTATAAATAAGCAGATGCTGAACGTGCTCAATGACTATATTTAAGATTGAATTTCCTTCAATGGGTGTTGCCATAAACACATTTATTACTAAAGATGCTTGCAAAGCAGGATTTGAGCAGGATTGTGATAATTTGCCTTACGAGGATATCTACAAATTTCTGTATGTTTGAATTTAAACATATTGCACAATATAACTTCCTGTCAGCTCTCCTATGCTGCTTTGTATAGCCTTCCAACCTTCCCTGAACCTGCTCATCCTTTAACACTACCACAATATAGAAGTATTGCAGAGCAAAGTGGTCCCCATTTTCAATGTTCACTCATGCTGAACCTTGCTGTTTTGTGTCATCCATTGCCATAATTGCTCATCCTCACGGGGACATTGCATTGCTGCTGCTCACTTTTCTTTCTGCTAATTATCATGAATGCGTTGCTCATCGAAGTCACAAATGTTAATTGTTACAGCTAGGACTATTGCCTTTGTTCTTTTCACATCTCACTCAGTAGAGACAAGTCACATGTTATTATTTTTTCACATATGATGACAAGCATCATGGGCAGACTGGGTCATTGTGAGGGACAGTGTCTGATAGCTCACAGTTAAAGAGTGGAATTGAAAAATTATGGTGAAAGCATCAGAGAGATTAAGACTATGGGGGTGATTTACTAACCTAAACACACGCACGCACCAGATGCGTGTGATTTTCACACAGCAAAACGTATTTATCAACCAAAAAGTCTCTAAAAGCATATTTCCACTAATGCCATATATGGAAAAATCATGCACATGATGCATATATAATGCTGCTTCACAGTTTAGACAAAAATAGTTAGCTCATGCATTTACATTCCTGCATTCATCAACGCAAGCAACACAACATAGAGCTAATTTACACAACATGACCTTGCAATTCAATGCTTGGCTTTGCACAACACACCTGCTGGGTGTGTACACACTACAAAAGTGTTTAGATTCCACCCATAGATCATGCTGGGAGGGAACACACTACAGAGGTGTATACATGTTCGTGGTGTGTTTATAAGGTTAGTAAATCAACCCCTATGTGTCTGATTTTTCTGTGTGAAATAAGGGTCAAGCCTGCATTACTGTACAGATTTAAAAAGGAATACACAATGCACACCAAGATTGAATGACAATATTTATTTAGACAATATTTGCTTAGCCCAATATAGATTCTCATGGCCCCAAGTAGGGATTACTTCAGTTTCGGACTGAACCCTATTCGAACCTGAGCTTCTCCAAACCCAGAAGCCACATGGGGTCACCTGCCCAATCAGCTGCAGTCCTGGGCATTCCCCGCACTGCAGTACATAAACAAAAGAGGGATCCTTGTGCTGACATTGTTGGCCTTATATGACCACATGACTATATTAAGTCAATGTCATTAACCAAACATAGCCATGTTGTCATATAATTATGCTATCACTGCACCCTGTTCCTTTTCTTACGCACAGCTGTGGGTGGGGAATTTCCTGGCTGCATCTGATTGAGCACCAGCGGAAAGATCTCCCTTCTGTGTCCATAGTAGCTCAATCTCAAGCAACTATGCAGTATTAGAAAATACATTATGTTTAAATCTTAGTAAAACTAAAACAAGCCTAAATGCCTATTCAGGGCCAAATATAAAGTAAACCATTCATAAGAAAAATCCAGGGATTATCAATGCTGTCGCCTTGTAAAAATGCTAATTGCCTGTCTTGTTATGCTGACCACTGGCCTGAAATTAGTATGCAAATTAAGAGGTTAGAGAGAAATCCAAGGTCTTTATCTGCATACATAAACTGGGTCAGTGAATTAAAGTACTATAACAGGAAGGCCAGTACCACAGCCAGACAACAAGGATTTTTAGAAGAAGGGCTCAGCAATGGCAGATTCTTAATTCATAAGAGATTCTTTTTCCTAGGACAATTGGCTTCATCCCCCACCCCTCCCCATTCAACTAATTATCATAGTTCACCTGCTCTGCTTTTGTAATGGACCCAGATGAATAGAAGAGTAGGGTGAACGGTACAAGTTAGAGCCCTATACGTAATAAGTGGCACTTATCCTGCTCTGCTTTTGTAATGGACCTATATGAATAGAACAGTAGGGTGAACGGTACAAGTTACAGCCCTATATGTCGTAAGTAGCACTTATCCTGCTCTGCTTTTGTAATGGACCCAGATGAATAGAAGAGTAGGGTGAACGGTACAAGTTAGAGCCCTATACGTAATAAGTGGCACTTATCCTGCTCTGCTTTTGTAATGGACCCAGATGATTAGAAGAGTAGGGTGAACGGTACAAGTTAGAGCCCTATATATAATAAGTGCCACTTATCCTGTTCTGCTTTTGTAATGGACCCAGATGAATAGAAGAGTAGGATGAACGGTACAAGTTAGAGCCCTATATGTAATAAGTGGCACTTATCCTGCTCTGCTTTTGTAATGGACCCAGATGAATAGAAGAGTAGGAGAAAGGTACAAGTTAGAAGCTCAGCGAAACTGGCCCCCCTTCAATCAGCACAAATAAAAACTCCAGCGTGTTTCACAAAACAGCACAAACATAGCAACAAAGAAACACTGACTGAAGTTTTTATTTGTGCTGATTGAAGGGGGGCCAGCTTCGCTGAGCTCAAGTTAGAGCCCTATATATAATAAGTGGCACTTATCCTGCTCTGCTTTTGGCTGAAAAATGTGTGGCAACATTGAAGCAAACAATGCAAACTACACTGTAACAGCAATTAGATCTGCTGCATGACACAAACAGGTATGTAACAGAAAAGTTGATAAAGCCTTGAGTTTCCAAGCCTTTCAATAGTATCCACTACTTAAAGAGACACTGTCATTCTAAAACATATATCCTGACTAAACTTATCAATAAAGCATATGTTGCCTGTCTGTGAAGGTTTTCGTTCATCCAGGTCATGATATATCTGTAAAACATTACTCAAAGCAACTGAACTAGCTGTATTTTTTTTGAAGATGTTTCGCTGGTCATCCGACTAGCTTTCTCAAACTCTGTTGCATGGAATCTTTGTTCTCTTGCAGACAAAAGATTCAATTCTTTGGAGGTCATATGGTTTAGTACAGTGCATGCATTTTAAAGAAATACTGTTGTTAGTATACATGTATCCTAAATTTACAGAATACCTTGCACCTAGGCTTCTCTTTAGGCTGGGTTCACACATGGGCGTTTTTCAGCGCTGATCGAAGCGCTGAAAAACACTCAAGCAGTGAAAACCTATTAACTCCTATGGGCATGGTTCCCAAATGGGCGTATTTCAGCACGGTTTGACACGCTGAAAAACGCCCTATGCCCAAAATAGTACCGGAGCTTCTTTTGGGCGGATTTCAGCGCGTATCCATTGGTATTCCCGAGTGTGGCTTGGGGTTAACAAAGCGGTAACCCCGAGCCACACGGGAATACAGCGTAGGTCTTACCTTGTCCGCGATCCCCGCTGTGTCCTCCGGCCGCTGCCGTCTTCCCGGTTCCGTCCCTTGCGAGCATCCGCGTCACAGGGAGGAGGAACCGGCGGGAAGTTTCAAAAGTATTTTAAAAGACAACGAAAAAAAGATAGAGACAAAAAGGAAAAAGAAAAAATCATACCGCCAGGGAGGTTAAAAATGAGCGTCGAACGCGCCTATTTGGAATGCCCAGGTGTGAACCCAGCCTAACTGTTCTAAGTTAAATCATCTGACAGCTCAAACCTAACTCCAGCCAAACTTTTTTTTTTCTTTTTGGAACGAGTGGGGAAAAATTACAATTTCTTTTAGGTTTTTGCTTGTGACCTTCTTTGGAAAATTTCCTCCACTTCCTTTCCCTTGATGCCTGCACAAGACGTTGATGTATGTCATCAGGACAGGAAACCACAATTTCCTGTTGTATCAAAGGGACTTAAGGGATAAGACTCACACAAAAAATTTAAATAAGTAATTTTATTACATTATTAAAATCTCAATTTTAAAACAAACTGTATTATTATAAAATATGATATATTGAATGGCTTTGCAAATAGACTTGTATGTACCCTGCCTAAAAAGACAAGCTCCATAAATCGCAATGCAGCATACATTGTTCATATGGAATCATAAAGTCCATCAAGTGATCCACAATAAAGCAGCATTGTCACAGATGAATAGGGGACATGTGTTAACACGTTTCATGAAGCAAGGTTCACGTTCTCAGGCATCAAAGACAAAAAAGAATCACTTTATATGCACTGTGCAGAAAATCACCAAGGGTTAGTCCAACATGCAAATGGCAATCCATATAAAAGTTACATCTATTTCCTAAACATCACACTAGTTAACAAAACTTGCTAACATATGATGAATAGTTGATGCTCACGTTGTTTCATCCAAATCCCCCCAGATCGCTATGCGCCGGCCAGTATAAGTTGCTATGATCAGGTGGACATAACTGGGTGTAAATGGATGCACAAAGTGGGAAGTCCCATGTGTATACCGATACCAAGGATGATTCCCACGTGAACCTATATAAAACAGTATCAAATCAAAGGTTACTAGTAGAAGAGAATACACACACTGGAGGGAGTGGCCAGCCCAACTACCACCTGCCATGAGAACCATCTGATAAGTCCCACACAAAGAAAAGACTGGCCTGCCACCATTTTATGTGTAGGCCTGTGTAGGCAAAAAGCCTAGCACCGGCCCTGTGGGTATGCCCCAAACACCACATAATTTCCTGTCTTAGGCTGAGAAGATGGACGTGAGATAGGCAAGTTCTTCCTTCGGCCCAGTTGGATTACATGGCTGGCCAATGGAAAGCTACTACATGGACTACACTGGCTGGCTGCTCCCACGTAAAGAAGTCACCATGCATATGTGTGCGGTAGGGTTGTGCTGGGATGATGCTGAATTTGAAAAAAGTCACCATGCCCAACCCCACTGCAGGCATGCGCATGGTGACTTATCCACATGGCAGTAGCTGTTTGGGTGTTTCCCGTTTGCCAGCCATGTAGTTCAATTGGTATGGTGTAAGAATTTTCTGATGCCACATCAATCTTCTACATCTCCATTGATATTTTAATGTTTCAAATAAAATTACATATTTTTAACCTTTTTTTGTGAGAATTTTTTTCAAAATACTAGTCTGTCTACTTTGTCCTGTAAAGTCCATTTCATACAACATAGTTACATAGTTATATAGTTAATCAGGTTGAAAAGACACAAGTCCATCA